TTTTTTTAATTTAGAATTCCAGAGCTAAATTTTTAAAATATGGAAAAGTACTACTTTTTAACATAAAATTTTATATTTTTAAATTCTTTTGTAAACAAATATTTATACTAATTTATTACAATTGTTTAAAAAAAAATAAAGTAGTGTATTAATTTTCAATTAAAATTTAAGTAAATAAAATATTTGATTAAAAATTTCCAACCTAAATATTTTCTTAGCTTAAGAAAATTTTTGTACTCTTTTCGAATTTCTATGGAGGAGGCAGCTCCCCTTACTCGGGAGACCGCGATGTGGTCGAGACAAGCTAGAGCGCGAATGTTTTTGATGATCGCGTACCATGCTAATTCCATGAACATGACTACACGAAATTTTAAAGAAATTACCTTAGACAAACGGCCAGCCTTTCTACAGGTGGTATGCAGCGTCTAAATCTTGTATTTTGCAACTAAATGTCTTCGTGAATAATCTCTAGTANTGTTACACGGTAAAAATATACATACTAAATCGCCCCCTTAAGCCTGTTGGATTAATAAAATTATTATTAACATTATTATTATTATATTAAGGGTGAGCAGGCCCGGTCTGGCTCTTTCAGAGGCCGTCGGGAAAAATCGAAGTCGGGTCAGTTATTAGGGTGCATATTGACTCTCCCCAGGAAAACTGTCGTATCTCAAATTTGGTTATACTGAGATAATTGCATTTGAATAGTTGTGAAAATAATAATGTTCGTTATTTTTTTATTATAAGAGCTAAATCGTTCTTCTTTAACAAAGTAATTATTGTTTAGGTCTTAATTAATTATTGATGATCTAAATAAAATAGTTTAGGATAAGAAAAAAGTGGATTTTGAATGAGTTACTAGTTTTTGTAGACAAAATTTTTATTGAAAATCAACTTGCTACACTAATAAAATACAGAAAAATTAAACATTTTCTATTTTAAGATAAAAAAATAATTGTTAATCAATAATGACATAAAAGGAAAATTTATTACAATTCAGTCAGTCATCTTCTTGGTCAATATTACTTTCTTCCTGGTGGTCAGTCCTACTAGCAGGCCAAAGGGAGTTGCAAAATTCATGATACATAGGTGGTATCAAATTAGCCTTACACAGACCCAACAGACCGCTTAATTTACCATCAATTGGCAGCAAACCTTAATACAATCTTGGAAATTGATATTCTTCGCGTTTGTGTGTTTTTTGTTTGTAAGTCTAGTTCTTCATGATTTTCTCCAAAATTATAGACAAAAAATACTTTATTGGGAGACTTTGGATCGCAGTGGATTTCTCTGATTTTGCTGATTTCTACAGCCTCTTCAGTAATATCTTTTTTCCAGTTTTGTTTCTTTACCATTAGTTTAAAAGTTACAAAATCTTCTTGACACATTTCTTTTACTTTGTACTGTGGGGCAGTAACTTTGGCCATTTTTATTAGACTAATCCACTGATCAGGAGTGTATATAATAGCAGTGACGTTTTTTTGCAACTTCGATCACAGCATGCATGCTGTCATTTTCATTCTGCGTGTGGTCAATTTCAAGAAAACGGTTGTTATTTCCAAATCCAAAGTCATTGAAGCATAAGCAAACATCACAAAAACAAAACGATTATGGTTTTGACCACCGCAATTGACGGAATAAAGAATAACCTTTTGTAACTTTCTTTAACAATTTTTAAAAAGATCCATAAACAACTTTCAATTTCATCCGGTCCTCTCTTCGATATTTGCTCATGCCATACATAGCAATAGCCTTGATTGCTGCCTAAATCATAAATTGTAAAATTGTATGTTGCGATTTTACTTTTATAATAAAAATCGCTGACTTCTGACTTGGGTGTTACTAACACCTTCTCCAAATCAAACCATGCTGTTATTAGAGATTTATCATTTTTCGACAATTCTTTATCAATGTCTTTCAGATTTCGAACCACGATTTTGTTTAAATTATGATTATTATAATCATCATCTATTTTTTCTGTTCTCTTCTCGGGATATGTATTCTTATAGGCACTACACACTGATCTTTTTTTGGCTTAAAGCTTTCTTTAAATATATTAAATTTCAAATTAAGAGTAACCCTGTATTGTCTGAGTATAGCTACTGCAGCCCATTTTTGTTGTTTTGCATATTCCAAATACATTTTGTGCATTCGTGAAAGAAATACTCAAATCTTCTTCTAAGTACATTCGTTTTGAGTTTTTTCTTGTATAATGAGAAGGCGTAAAAGAAAAAAGTTTTTATGTGTTCCATAATGTTTTTTATTGGAGCATCCGGGTTCTTATGCAGTCTAGTATTGTGTTTTCCTTTTCTGTCCCGTTCTACAGTACCACCTTCACCAATTTTTTGCAAAACGGTGCTTACAACTGTTTCAGAAATTGCAAGCGTATTTAAGAACATCGTTCTAACTTATAATTGCGGGAGAAATTCCTTCTGGAATATTTATTATGTAGAATAACCTGCTTTTTTTCTCGTTGTGTCACACACCTTACAAAAAAATCCCACTGCCGAGTATGATCTCCAAGGTTCCAAAATTCGTCAAAAATGACTTTTCTAGCTTCTTCATTAATTGTTTTGTTGCATTTATACCTGCAAGTTTCTTTACAAGGTGATTTCATTACCTTTGCAAAAATAAGTTTGTCTTTACGATTTTTATGTTGAAGACCTTTATTAAGTTCTGCCTTGGCTTTGTTATCTACTCATTTTCATTTCTGACACATTTTCTCCCTACCTTTAGTTTTTTTTGTGACTGCGTTTTCTTTTAGGTAACACCACAGGTAACGGCAAATTTTGCATCTCGTTATCAGATTCATCCAGATTTTCATTTGCAGATTCTGTTGGAACATAATTTGGATCCTCATCAGAATAATCGGAAGAAAATAAATTCATATTAGTTTCATCCTAATAGTAATTATTATGAATTTCATTTGCCTGCAAAAAAATAAAAATTTCATTCAAATTTTAATTATAAATTGATTCTGTCTCACTCACGCAGAGTGCAACGCGCAAACGCGGCAGATATGACAGAAGCTATTTACATGCTGCTACCTGGATCAAGCTTGCAAAGCAAACTCTCTCATCTATTTGCAGCTCAAATTAAAGCTTATTAGTTATTTCAAGCACCATCTTTAAAATATTAAAAATAAACTTTTAATATACTTACCCTTGCGGTACTTATTCTGTTTATTTATTTATTTCTGTTTTTTTAACAGAAAAAAAAACTCATTGGGATAGGTGACTTTGAATCGTCATTTCTCCGGCTCCAGTACAACCTACGAATATCTATTTGCAGTTCAAATTAAAGCTCATATATATCTGTAGGAATATAAGTATACTTACCACTGCAGTACTCATGCCGTCTTCACAGATTTTATTTACACTATAGCTCTATAGGCTACGTCCAAACTATTATTGGTTTTAAAATTATATAAAATTATATTAATATAGGTAATAAACTTAAACCTATCAACTCAGGATACAGGAAATCAATAATAGTTTGGACATAGTCCGAGGGCTTTAGAAAATTTTAAAGCTCTCGGTTATTATTTATATTCTTATTTTTTCTTCTGAGCACATAACTCATACGGCTATAGGGTAAAGGGTTATTATAAGGTTAAAAGACTTCCAGTTTGGGAGATATTAATTTCTCTCATTTTTCCCTCAGGCCCACAGCTTATAGATAAAGGAGTTATTAGTTTATAGGGCTTACATTTGGAATATATATTTATTTCTCTCTTTCTTTACTGTAGGTACACTGTTTATAGGGGTATAGGGCAAAATAATAAAATTTGTGTTATTTTTTTGACCTGGGAATATCCCATTTCTATGAAAGATTCAATTTTCATTTTTACGTTCTTCTTTTTTCTTTTCAATTTACGGTGGCTATATCTCAAGAATTAACAAAAAATTGTCTTATACTTTTGGCGCCTCGTTGGTCGTTTGTCGTCTTATTTTCCAAAATAAGTCGTGTTTTGCCGATTTCCCGACCTGGCCAGACCGGGCCTGAGGGTGAGCTCCTGGGGAACCTTATTTAGTACCCAAGGAACTGAGAGAAGTGTCAGAGAGGAAGCTTTTGGACTTTGTTAAAAGGACAAATCTACTTGCTGAATAGGACTAGTAATGGGACGCACAATAGGCCTAATTAGGCCGTGGTGCTATGGGATTTATTAGGACCAACCACTAGGAAGAAGAAGAAGGGTGAGTTACAAGTAAACGTAAATTTTATAAACATGCAGTGAACTTTTTTAATATGCACTTGGTAACAATACTCTCTAGAATGTTGAAAAAAGTTAAGCAAAACATTCATTTAAAAAATGAAATAAATGACAATGCGCAATAAATTAATTAATTACTATTAATTTTAAAGTAGTTTTTTAGTTATTTAAAACAATATTATTTATTTTATGACCTTTTTTTAATAAAAGATTATTATTTTTGTTATTTATCATGTTATTTATAAATTCATATTTGCTTTTTATATACAATTTCTTATATTTTTACATGACTGAAATACTAAGTTATTCAGAATTAACGTCCCGATTTTCTTTGTAGAAATCGCATTTTTTGATAGTCATCCCCTAAAGCACCATCTCTTGCATCAAATATACAAGAAAGTCCGTTTAATTATTGATTTTGCCCACAGTTCTAGAAGCTACGCCATCTGTCGCCAGAGAGTAACGCGATCAATGTCGTCAAATCTAAGAAAGCATGCCTTAAAAAAGAGGCAAATTGTTATTTAAACTATTATAACACGGTAATAAAAGTAATCAATAATACGATAAACGATAAACGCATAATTTGTCAGATCTGAGGTCATCATTTATAATACCTACTGGATCCTGAAGGGCAATAAACCTCAAAATTATGGTCAAATATCAACTCCTTGACTTAACAGATAGCATAGTTTATAAAATTTACATTTAAGTCAATTTAATAACAAAAATTTTGATAAAATATAGTTTTCCAAAAATAATTGTCGCAGCGATTATCGTGCAATTGTGAATAATTATTATCTACTTTTTCAGTATGATATTTCTGTTTAGACAAAAATAAATTTATAAAATCAGCACCTTGAAAGATCTTTCACAAAAGGTTATTTATTTAAAAAAAATTTTTTTCACTGTATCAGAAATACTCAATCAAATAATCTAATCTAATTATGTGCCCATATAGGTGGATATACAAGGTGTTTCAGGATTAAGTCGACAAACTTTAAGGAGATATTCCTCATAAAAAAATAAGAAAAAAATCAAGTATAAATTCATTCAACTTCATTTTCAAAATATAGGCCGTTAAAGATTTTTTTAAAAATTCGAATTTTTTAAATAACTTCTAAATGAAGAAGACTATTTAAGCCAAATTTGGCATGACACATCTTCTTATAAGATACCATTTTTCCATGGAAATAGAAGTCCCGCAAGCAACCAGTGGTGGAGTTATGACTCAGTCTCATTAAATTAAAAAAAAAATTAATACGGCCCTACTGAAAATAAAAAATGATGCTGTTTTTAGATAGAACAATGTGTTATTGACAAAAAGTGTACATTCACTTTTTTTTCTAACTCTTATAGTTTCATGGCAAAATTGATTTTTCGGAAGGGTGCTTTTGGATTATGTCGATAAACTTTAGAAACTCATAAAACCTAAAAAAATATAGTACCTATTAAAATTGGTCTTAGTCTCGAGTATGTGTGAGTCAAATAAGCCTTTTTGTCTCCCCTTCCCTTGGGTTTAACCAATAGTATTAAAATTATTTAGGAGATGCTTCATTTTTGAGATATAGGGTGTTTTTTTAGAAAAAAAAATGATGAAAACAATAGAAATATTTAAGTACCTAACATTTAATGTGACTATGTCGCAATGCGACAATGTAACAACCCTTGCAATACTCCTAAATTTTTTCAGGCAGTTTGTAGTCACTTCATTTACTTGTGTTGTGTAATTTTAAATAAAATAAGATGGCAAACAATACATGAAAATTTATTTGTAAATTGAAACAACCAAAAAATTATCAATTAATATTATACCTAGACAAAGCAAAAAGTGAATCAAAAATGAAATGATTTAAAAAATAATTTGTTCAAAATGGGCGCTTCCGGACTGTAGACAAGCACGACATCTTCTAATTATGGAGGTAGTGGCCGATCGACACTGAAATGGAGTTAATTCTCGTCACGCTTGGACTATTCGCACGGGTGTGAAAACAGCCACGCTTTTCCAGCCACGAATTTACGATGTGGCAACACAGCACACTGTAACGTGTACATGTATTTAAAGTTGCAATTTTCTTATTACGATCTGTTAATACCAACCGTTTACTTGCAAATGTTCGTTACATATCACTTTTCACCCCTAATTAGACAGATGTCATTGTCGGCCCGTTATAAGGGTTAAAAAAACGAATATAGGTAAAAAAATTACAGTTCTCTTATTATGATATGTCAGAGAGATTTGTTCACTAGGAAATATTCATTACATGTCCTTCTTCAATCTTGCTTAGACAGAACTCAGTGTCGGGCCGTAATAAGGGGTCAGAAAAAAAAAAGAATATAGGTAAAAAAAATTACAGTTCAGTTATTATGATCTGTCAGTGAGATTTGCTTGCTAGGAAATGTTCATAACACGTCCCTCTTCAATCCTGATCAGACAGAAGTCAGTGTCGGGTCGTAATAAGGGAGCAGAAAAAACATATGAATATAGATAAAAAAAATTACAGTTTAATTATTATGATCTGTCAGTGAGATTTGCTCTTTAGAAAATATTCATTGCAAGTCCCTTTTTAATAATGATTAGACAGTGTCGGGCCTTAATAAGGGATCAGGAAAAAATAAGAATATTCGTAAAAAAATTGCTGTTCTCGTATTATGATCTGTCAGTGAAATTTTCTCGCTAAGAAATGTTCATAACACGCCCCTCTTCAATCCTGATTAGACAGAAATCAGTGTCGGGCCATAATAAGGGAGCAGAAAAAAACATACGTATATAGATACGTATATAGATAAAAAATTACAATTCAATTATTATGACCTATCAGTGCGATTTGCTCTTTAGGAAATATTCATTAAAAATCTCTCTTTAATACTGATTAGACAGAAGTCAGTATCGGGCCGTTATAAGGGGCTGGGAAAAAAATAGGAATATACGTGTCTTTATTGCGGCAGTGAAATGGAAATAAATACCGAACAATCGACCGAAAACCAGTGTCATCTATGTAAGAGATTTTTTTATAAAAGATGTGTAGTCATAGAAACGAACAGGTGCCAATTATATAATTTGTTCATTAACAAAAAAAGTTAAATCAACTATGTGGTCTCAACCGAAATAAGCACGTCTAAGTAAACAGATTTCAACGACCGGTTGTAAAAATCATATAATTATTTTAATTTAATAATAATAAATACATAGGTATTTTCCGCTATTATGGACCGATACTGACTTCCATCAAATCAAGAATTAAAAGTAATAATCCAAGGGAACAGATCGTACCGGCAAATAATAATAAAGTCCCAATTTTTAAATTTATCATCATGAAGGGGAACAGCAATTTTTTTACATATATTCTAATTTTTTTTTACCTGACCCCTTATTACGGCCCAACACTGACTTCTGTCTGATCAGGATTGAAGAGGGGCGTGTTATGAACATTTTCTGGCAAGAAAATTTCACTGACAGATGGTAATACACGAACAGCAATTTTTTTACGTATATTCCTATTTTTTTTCCCGGCCCCTTATAACGGACCGACACTGACTTCTGTCTAATCAGTATTAAAGAGGGATTTGTAATGAATATTTCCTAAAGAGCAAATCTCACTGATACGTCATAATAATTGAATTGTAATTTTTTATCTATATAGGTATGTATGTTTTTTTTTGCTCCCTTATTACGGCCCGACACTGACTTCTGTCTGATCAGGATTGGAGAGGGGCATGTTATGAACATTTCTTAGAGAGAAAATTTCACTGACAGATCATAATACGAGAACAGCAATTTTTTTACGAATATTCGTATTTTTTTCCTGATCCCTTATTACGGCCCGACATTGACTTCTGTCTAATCATTATTAAAAAGGGACTTGTAATGAATATTTTCTAAAAAGCAAATCTCACTGACAAGTCATAATAATCATAGTAACTAAACTGTAATTATTTTTTTCTATATATCCGTATGTTTTTTCTGCTCCCTTATTACGACCCGACACTGACTTGTGTCTGATCAGGATTGAAGAGGGACGTGTTATGAACATTTCCTAGCTAGCAAATCTCACTAGCAGATCATAATAACTGAACTGTAATTTTTTTACCTATATTCTTTTTTTTTCTAACCCTTTATTACGGCCCGACACTAAGTTCTGTCTAAGTAAGATTGAAGAAATACATGTAATGAATATTTCCTAATGAACAAATCTCACTGACATCATAATAAGAGAACAGTAATTTTTTTACCTATATTCGTTTTTTTACCACTTATAATGGGCCGACAATGACATGTGTCTATTCTAATCAGGGGTGAAAAGTAATATGTAACAAACATTTGCAAGCAAACGGATGGTATTAACAGATCGTAATAAGAGAATTGCAACTTTAAATACATGTACACGTTACAGTGTGCAGTGTTGCCACATCGTAAAATCGTGGCTGGAAAAGCGTGGCTGTTTTCACACCCGTCTATTCGCTGTCTTAGATCTTCCAGGGTATCAACAGGCACCTCGTAGACTTTTTGTTTAACAGCACCCCAAACGAAATAAGCCATCGGTGTCAAGTCCGGTGAACGTGCAGGCCACGAAAATTTTTGTTGAGGTTCATTTTAAAGTTTATCGACAGAATCCAGAAGCACCCTTCTGAAAAATCAATTTTGCCATGAAATTATAAGAGTTAGGAAAAAAAGTGAATGTACACTTTTTGTCAATAACACACTGTTCTATCTAAAAACAGCATCATTTTTTATTTTCAGTAGGGCCGTATTAATTTATAATTTAATGAGTCTGAGTCCCCATAACTCCGCCACTGGTTGCATGCGGGACTTCTACTTCTGTGGAAAAATGGCATCTTATAAGAAGATGTGTCATGCCAAATTTGGCTAAAATAGCCTTCTTTTTCTTATTTTTTTATGAGGATTATCTCCTTAAAGTTTGTCGACCTAATCCTGAAACACCCTGTATAATATGCTCTCATTAGTCCAAGGACTTAGGTCAAAAATAGACTTTGGTTGATTTTCTTTTTGTCGCTCATTTGCAAGATCAACAACGATATGTTTCTATAAATTACACTTTTTAGAAACGATTTGTGTAAAGTTTTCAGTTTTTTTTTTTGACAAATATGAGAAAATGTTATATTCTTACCTACGTATAACTGAATAATTCTAACTTTTTTGGTAGTACCATAGACGTCAACTACTACATGAAGTGGTGCTTTTGTAAATGGAATGCGTTTAACACATGCTCCCTGGTCCTCTCCATTGATAATGTAATGCATATCAGCCTGCTCTTCATCAGTTGGCACATACATAACACCTATACGACTCCCCATGTCAGTTGGTAGAATATCCTCAGATGGAGAACGTATTGGTTTTAATAGACTTAAAGGAATTGTTCCACGGCAAGTTTTTATTATATTTTTACTTAACAATTGTTTAGCTCCAGTACGTATATACTGTTTGCCATTGTCATTATCATATTCAAAAACACTGTTATGAGCTTTACTTATACCATATATCCAAGAAGTACCAGTATTTGCTAGATCAGGTAAAGCATACTGTGGTATTGAACTAGTTCTATATATTGTTAAAGGATCCAATTGAGTTAAACCTAATCTCATATGACCACTCCAGCCACTTTCATTTTGTTCTATCTCAAGTAAAAAAATTTCTCCAGGTTTTAATGGTTTTTCACTAAATGTTACAGCATTTGCAAAACTTTTCTTCCTATATGCAACAGTATTATCATCCGATAAGACTATATTTTCTCCATGGTATGGATGAAACCTTGTAATAGAATTTTTATTACTTGCCATTATTAATAACATATACAAATTGTTAATTACATCTAATTACGATTTTATATTCTTCTTATAAATATAAAAGTATTAAGAATCCTTTCTGTCACTTCCGTTTTAACAATTTTATGTTTGTAACCAACAGCCAACCACCACCAACCTTACTCCGAGTCTATAACCTATAAAAACAAAAATAGAGCCTGGAAGTCTTAGAACAATACGCGCCATTATTCCATGGCTAGAAATTGGCCTCAATGATTTGGGATCGAGGGGGATTATCACTCTTTATCCTGCCTCATCTCGTGTAGGCCTGGACAGCC